GCACCCGAGAAGCGGGCGAGTTATGCAAGGCGAAAGGAGCAGAGACACTTCTGCAAGATAGCCAAACCAATGCCACTGCAACCTGCATTTGAGCTTACAACGAAACCTCAAAAGTAGATGAACTGCCCCTGTGAGAAAGCTTTCCAATTCAGCTGCGAACGCCCGTAGATCCTGCAAGAAGCACCGGCAATGATACAAAGTGGATAAGATCTAGGGAAATTACTGGCTCCCAGCCAAGTGGAAAAAGGACTTCTATGGCGCGGTAGCAAAGCGTCTAAATAAGAAAGACTTTTTTTCAGAAATCGTTTCACTCACTTCTATATCCAACGAACCTCGCCGCAAAAACTGCTCAGAAACAGGTTAAGAATAGACACATGAAACCACAGGGGAAATTAAGTTTAAATCATACTGTCTGCAAACTCCAGAAACTGCTCATGCTCGCCTTACTAGTTGAAGAACATGAACCTCAAAGAGTGCTCCGCAGAAAATTAAGCTAAACGTCCCTGCAAGTCCCACATCGAAAGCAGATAATAAAGCTGGTCATTTTGGGCCCGCCTGGTCACTTAGCTACTCCATAACAGTGTGAAAAAATTCGTTTCTTCTCCTACAACTAAAACTAAAAGCAGCAACTTCAGTACATGGCAAATCGCCTCTGCCGAGCCTTGCAGCTCTGACGGCGATTTACACATCTACTTCAAATGGAGGAAAAGAAAGACAAGCCTTCGAGGTCGTGAACAATTCACTAGCACAGGATCGTTGTTACGACAGCACTTGCAGCTTAAAGGAATTGCAGTTCTCACTTTCCACCGCAGCAGGACATGACTTCCCTAGACCCTTCACAAAATCCAAAATTTTGAGTAAGCCAGCTCTTGCCTGCAAATACTAGCGAGCTCTGGGAACAATTTCTGCGCAAGAAATGCTACAGGCGATAAGGATAAAATGCGTAGTCAGTCTACATGAATTACTCGCAAGGCACACTGACAAGCTCTACGCAGTGTTGAAACTTTGGTAGGAACAAAAGCGTCACCTGGTAGTCTTGAATTTCTGGGAAAGTGTAGATCGACTCGGCGGAAATCTCGGGGGGAACGCGAAGCAGAGAACGAATAAACTGCTGTACTGCACCTACTGCTGTCGTTAACAGCGGTCCTGCTATGCCTCCTTCCGTGCTGCGTCGTGCAACTTGTGTATGCCTAGGACCACTCAAAAATCGTCTATTGTCTTGGCTCCCACATGCCTCTTCATATGTAGGTAAGGTAGGTACGCGTCCTGTTAAACGAGCATTCCGATCTGCAGAATGCGTGGGCTCACGAGGAAAAAACACATAGCGCATTCACTGCAACTCAATTTTCCCGCTAGCACCACATGATGCAATGAAGGCGCAGAGCTGGTAGTGGGCCATAAACTTCGCAAAACTCTAAGGGAGATTTGTTTTTTCACTCCATATACTACCCGCAAAGTTCGGCGCAGATGCATTTCCATGTAGTGTTATGAAATTGCAACGTGCTGACGCTGGGCAGCGCACTTGGTGTGCTAGCTTCCTTGAAAATGCATTGGCCTTTTTCTGGCTCTTCAGGTGGTGGGCGCAGGCAGTAATGAAGAATGCAAGGACAGTCAGAACGACAGACATCGCAAAAATACCGCGAGTCAGACCGGGTCTTCGAGATGCCAGCTGGATCCGAAAAGTTTGAGGCAGATATTCAAGGCTAGAAATTGCTGACTCGGCCGTCACATGTGTCGTGGCCTCGGAGTTTTCGAATGCCATTGGCAAGAAAATGAGGTGGACAGAATCATCAAACCAAACTACTGGACAGAATAACTTTAAACCAATGGCGCAGAGGTCTACCACAACAAAAGAGACAATGCAAAGTTCTTTTAGTAAAAGGCAGCTTATATAATTTCAAGCAAAAATCCAAAGCTCCGCACCGCACTCAGAACCACCGGACACCGGTAACGCAGTAGGGAACATCGATCAATGCTAGACCACTGCAAGCAACAAGAAAGCACGAAATTAGGTGCTTATTTTGCAGCTTAAATGAAAGCGAATAAAAGTGAAAACATGGAACGGTAGTTTCAACGAAGAAACACCGTAAGTTGCACTTCCCCACAAAGCATCTTGATGGTCCCACAGCTTCAGAGCAAAGAGTTCAAACCGTGCTCGGCTTTTACATTCGCAACCTGCTCATAATGTTCAATCGTCATGGAGCAGCTAAGTCAATATTTGGATGCCAAGATTGGTCGCTGCAATGCTAGAAAACACCTTAAACACAAACCTTCCGGCCGACTAACCGCTGGGATGGTGCACACGAGAGGGAAGGCGACCCCCAAAGTCAAAACCTTACTGCGGGAAAGCCTGAGTAAAATTACATTGTGTCTCCGGTCGGAGACGTCTAATCTTGCTGTCATCACCGAGACGGTTTGATAATGAAGCTGCGTGCGAAGATAATCCAATTAAGTTTTTGTCCATCCTACCTTTGTAATTGAAGAAGCGTAATCTTGATGTCCACAAGCCGACTTGCTTTGTATCTACAGAAGCTTCACGTCAGGGTGATTATGATTCAATTTTTTTTCCATCTGGGGAGCTTCACACTGTTGCCGTGCCGGTTGGCAGGACCCACACTATGGTTTCGGATTCGGAGCCTTACCGAATGAGTGTAGCTTTCTAAAGATAACCCTGATTAATGGTACCATATCCGTTTTCAGCTGTGAATAATTTATTACTCCAAAATGCAAGCCGTACCTCATGTCGCTCCAGCCTCGAAGTAACTGTCATAGAATGTTTTGGACGCTGCCAAATGCAGCACAGAAACCGGTCTCGTAATTGCTACATTTCTTACTCGAAAAGACCATTGAAATCCAACACGGTCTATTTATCGTGCACGCCGTCTGCCGTCTATGTTGTCCATTGCGAAAACACCTATGCAAATGCAAATTTCAAGCCATTCTTTGGTCTGCCCGCAAGGGCAGCTGAGCTTCAGCTCGAGGGCGCGAATACTTAAGGGAAGTTAGTGTCTAGCACAGTTACTTTGTTGGTGCCTTCAGCGTCCACCAAACTGCCAATGTACCGGAACGCCAGCGAAGACACGAAGGTCTGGGCACTGCGGCAGAGGCGCCAGCAGATTCTATAGGAGACAGTATTCTAAGTCTTCTTCCTCAACTTACTGCTGGGTGCTTTGACTACTTTCTTAGAAGATGATCTATGAGGTTAAATTCCTTCGCAACCCTAATGCTGTCTACCGCGTCGGCGAAGTTAGAGAAACCCGAGCTTCCAATTTCGTCCCAGCCACTTGTTGCTTTGAGGGCAGTTGTGGCAGCACCGTTTCCAATGCAGTGAATATCCCGCAGGTGTAAGGCAGTACGAAGCATGCTGCTTGTGGCCAGATTCCAACGCAGCACGCCAATGCAAGGCCGTGCTTGTCCCAAGTGCTCTATATTTAAGAAAGGCAAGGGTGTTTCCTTACCCGATGGCAGTTACAAACGCCTCACTCGGACGGAGAGAGCCACACATGGGGAAAAAGCCATCCCGAACACAACTACAGTGCCTAGAGCTACCGCAGGCCCGTAGGGGTGCGCCACCCGCTCGACTATAAAAGAACTGAAAGGCAGGTACACGCTGTAATGATGCTAATGGCGTGAAGGATTTTTTCAGAATCAAGCAGCAAAAGAGAATCTAATGTCGTTCTCCGAACAAGGCTATTGCAATTGGGATCGTACTGCCCGGAAGACTTACGCAGAGAAAGTGCTGAATCCTATCAAACGCAATCGGATTCTAGGCAAAGTGTATCCCTGCAACACGCCCTCACTTGTTGGGGAGCACGCGCATTGGCGGCTTCGGCAGTTCACCAGTGCATTGCTTGATTGTGGGCATTGTCTGGGCAAGTGGCCCCCACAAGCTCCCATTTTAAGCCACCATGATAGGCCCTCTGTGATAATGCTGGCTCCCTCCGCCCAGCTTCCTCTTGCCTAGTAGATTTGAGGTACCTGGCCTTGTGGCCTGACACGCCACTAGGTAATGCCCACTAACTGATATATTTCATGCTAACTGACATCCTAGTTTTACTTGCCATGTAGATGACAGGTACTTCGTCCTACCAACTCGCACGTCCCAAGTAAGGTCCGTTACCCGATACATTACACTTTTACTTTAGTCATCACTCTCGTAGGCAGGGTCCCACATTAGCTAACTGCAGCAAAAGTCTAATACCTATGGGTGGTGCTACTGTTGCCCTGAAGTGCAGATATCGATTACGTAGGTGACTGGACAGTACATCCGTCCTTCTTTGAGCTTGCATCGCCCCTTTTTGGCTCCGCCAGCTCCCCTGGATTTCCTATATTCACGGTCACTGCTAGAGTAGTTGGAGGCTGGAGCCCAAGAGTCTCATTCCAAGCACAAAAGCAGCATGCAGAAATGCTTGCAATGCTTAAGAGACAGATCATCTGAAACTCACTCTATGGAAGGAAACCTCGGTGTTGAATCAACTAGCCATTAGGCTCCCTCAAAGGCCGCCACGCGCAGTCATGTCAGTAGGAAAATCTATTCTCCTTTTCTTTGAAGCCGCCTTGAGCTCCAGATTTCCCATTCAACCAGGTATCCTGCCTACAGTGTCTCCCCAAGGGTACACGAACCTGTTTCGCAGCGTACATTCTACCATCTAGAAGACACCTTCTCGACTTTATCTGCACCCCTTATCTGTAGCTTGGCACTCTATATTTGAGGAACCGTTGAGGCCTCGCCCTTGCCTCTGCTCTTCCCATTTTCCGTCCTTTTCTATTCCCATACCCCTGCCTTTGCATCGACGTCTCACTGCCCCTGCTTATTCCTTCCTCTAGTTTGTGTGTCCGTGTATATGTATGTATTACTTTCTTTTTCGACCACCCACCGTGCTTCTCTCGCTGCTTGGGTGCGGGGATGCATTTGCCGCTTTCTTTTGCTGCCTGGCGCCATCTTTTGAAAAAAGCGGAGCAGGAAACTGGAAAACAAAACCGCATTTAGAGGCGCTTTTTCAAATTGACTCTGTGCGCTTGAACGCCAGAGAGTCTCCATAGCCCCTTATGGGGCCTAAAGCCGCGACAATAATCATTTGAAATGTTGGAGCCTCCAGACCTGTTCCCAATTTGACTTCAGCCGCCAAGGGCAGCAGCCCCAGTCTGTCATTACTGTTGGGATGCACTTGCACCTCAAGTCTTAGCAACGCTGTGTGGTCACTCTGCATTAGCACCGCGTCTCTTGTCTCTAATGGGTCTACATCTTGAAGGACCCCTTCGCCTGCCCCTCCCGCACCTTCTAATTCGTCGAGGACTTCATCATAGGCAGCTAGTTGTACTGACAAGTCGCCGTTCCAGTCTACAGTCCACCAGCACTCGTCTTGCTCTTCATCTTCTTCTTCTTCATCTTGCAGTTGCTGCAGCTTCTGTAGTTGCTGGCGAAGCTGCTGCAAACGCTGCTGCAGTAGAATTCGCCGCCTGCATGATACAATGGCGGAGCTGAGACGCACGATAACGGGCGAGTCTGCAGCGCTAGACAAAGACAAATATACACAAGCGGTTCGACCCTCCGAAAGGTAGAGCTGGGTGCCTCCCACGCAGCACTGCACTGTCGGCAGGTACAGGTTTGCTGCCTTATTCACGCGGAAAGGAGGCACGCCCTCCAGAGCCAGGCCAGCCTTCACCACAAACCTACCGCAGCTGTTGCAACGCTTGCTGCGACGCTGCAGCAGCAGCCGACGTTTTAGCGGCAGGAACAAACATCCCGCTGCTGCCGCCGCCAGAGAGTCCGGGCACTGCAGCAGCTGCTGCAGGCCTACACGTTCCTGCATGCACAAGCCCCTTGCTGCAGCTACCACGCGACCCCCGCTGTACACTGTAGAGACGTCTGGGTGACCCCTGTCTACCAGGAGCTGCTCCGCATGCAAAGGCTGCGAAAATGAGGGATAGAGACACTTGCACCAAGACGTTGTGGACACCGAAGATACAGACCCAGCATCGTCCGCTTCGCCTGCTTTTGTCGGCTCTCCTACTGTCACTGCTGCTCCTATTTGCTCTGCTGTTCCCCCTCCTGTCAGCTGCTGTCTTGCTGCAGCAGCAAGGGCCAACGTTTCTTTAACGCTGCAATGCAGGTGCTGCCCCGCGGCGACTGCTGCTAGTGAGGCGCGGGGGGGAGCAAAGGACCAGCTCGGTGGCCTCCTGTACGACCAGATGTCTATGTTCCTCAACTGTTTGTCTCTTTCCGCCTCAGCCCCATCAGCATCGCTTACTTTCCAGTGACCAGCTGCTGCCGCTGTTCCTGCTGCTGACCGTCTTTTGGCATCTCGTGGATTGGAGCTCGCTGCGGCGGCAATCAGCGCAGCAACAGCCCGGCTCTTGACTGTTTGCTGCAGCTGCCTTCTCCTCTCCGTCTCGCATGCGTTCTGCTGCAGCACGTCCAGCACTTCACCAAAGGCAAAGGTAGCCATCCCAGCTCTGTCCCCTTGGGCCCCGAACACTGGCAGCGCAGCAGGAAGACACGAAGAGACCCCTGAGATCTCCGAGCTCCAGCTGCAGTGGTTGCAACAGTAAAAATACACATGCTGTCTGCTGCAGTAAGGCCCTACCCTTGAACCCGCCGCTGCTGCTATAGCCGAGTCACTCTCGTCACCTTCAAGCGCATCAGGAGAAGTAGGAGCTTCTGCTTCGTCTGTGTCGCCATCTAGACTAGGGACAGACAACAGACTATCGCAGCGCTGCGGTGCCCCAGGAACTGCAAATCCTCCCACTTCGTCCACGCGTCCCTGTGCCGCTGTTGGGTCTCCCTCGCACATTGCCGCAACAATTCGCCGTCCTTCGGCTGCTGCTGCGGCTGCCTTTGCTGCAGCTGCCTTGGCTGCTGCAGCGAAGTCAAGGAGGGGTGCATAATCGACGGCAGCAGCAGCTTCTGCTGCTGCCTCGGCTTCTTCTGCGGCTGCTGCGTGCCTCCGGCTCACAAGAGACAAATCCTCATCTCGCTCATCATTGTACGTAAAAGGGTATGCCATCCTCGGGCTGCTTCCCGCAGCCAGCCCTAATCGCCCCAGCTCTGCCTCATCCTTCTTTTTCCGAGAAAGTGACAACCCGTTCATGCAACGGGGACAGCTGAAACACTTGCTGCAGCGAAAGCCACAGGCCGCCCCTTCAGCAACAGGCAGAAGCTCCAAACAACCGGGACAGAAGTAGCATTCCACCTCTTCTGCCACCTACAGCAACAAACCGCAGATCCGAAGGCATGCGCCCGTCAAGCCACGCGTTCATTCATGCTTCCAAACCGTACACGCCTACTGCTTTGCAAAGTACCGTAATTGCATGCACCATAATATAGGTCTAAACGCTTCAGGGTTAAGCCTTGTGCGGGTCTTGCCTACTTGGAGCGGCGACAGAACACGCCCGCAGGGCTCGCACACATACAGCTCCTCCAGCCTGTAGAGGCAGCCTGGACGTGGCTCAGGTGCTGCTGTTGCTAGTTCTGCCTCTACGCGCCGCAGCTCCTGTAACACCTCTTGCTGTTCCGGAACTGCGGCATCAAAAAGCTGAGGATCAGAAAAGAAAGACCCTTCTCTTTGCTGCTGCAGTGTACAGACACGCCTACGGTAGTCCAAGTCCGCGTTCAAGAGTATATACACGTCGTTGACACTGCTGCACCCGGTGCTGTAGCTGTTAGCGCTCCAGATGAGATCTTGCTCCGCACGCCGCAGCTTCCGTAAAACCTCGAGAAAGTTGACTGGAGGCACGAAAGATATATCAGCCCAAGCCTCTCCTGCATCCGCTTGTGCTTCTCCTGATGTCGGTGCATCTGCACGAGTGCCATCTGCTGATGACGTAGTTTTGCGTGCAAGTTCCTTGCTTTTCATTGTGCCACCGTACTACCAAAAACTGCCCCAACTGGAATCTGCAGACGCAATCGCTAACGAGTGTGTATTGGTTTTGCCGTTTACGTCGCGACCCCTATGTTCCTTGACATATTAAGGTTCAAAATTTGTCACGGATGCGTCTGCTGTTGGTGTTGCTGCCTTCTATGTTGCTGCTCTGGCTCCAGCTGCTGTTCCTCCTTGCAGGGCAGCAATAACAGGGGGTCAGCAAGACGCCTCGGTTCTTCCCTATCAAGTTGCTGAATGCACTCTAAGACGTCGGCCTGGAGCTGCAAAAAAAAGTAAGATAAAACAGCTGGGCAATAGTTATGGTGAACTGTTTCTAAACGGGCAGACAAGTAGACAGCAAAGCTCCGCTCTAGTATAACATGAAAGCAGTACCTAACCTTGAGAACAGCTCTGCGTCTTGCCGCCTCCTCTTCGATGTCTCTTCTCAGAGCAATAGTTACAACGCTCCCAATTTCCAAAGGGGCTGAGGTACACACCAGAACGCATATGCAACCAGAGGCTTCGCCGTTTCAGCGTCGTGCAGGAGCGATGCCCTGCCTGTAAGTACAGCATAGCCATTGCTTCACAGACCTACCTTCGTGTTCAGTCTTTAGGGTGAGGGATAAAGGCTTCCGCGCCTTACCTGGAATGAGAGAGGCTGGCAGACAGAAGAATTGTTTGTCTGCAGTGATAAGGGTCACGAGGCCTCCCTCATTGAAGCCTCCGACAGTCAGTCGTACGTCAGACTGCGCGCCAAAGCAAGAATGAGGCGCAGAAGCGTGCTCGCTGTTGTTATCGTTCGGGTTGTAGCTGGTGCTGGCGGCCGTCGCTGGTACAGTGCTTCCGGGCGGCCTACTGCTTGAGCGCGGCCCCGTGAAGCCTGGTGAAGACGGAAGCATCCGGACCCTTAAACTGCAGCAGAACCCGGAGGAACTCCAATAAGACTCAGCAACAGAAATAGCAGCAGGGATTGCCGGTTTGCGGATTCATTGCAGCAACTGCAACCGAAATGAAGCTCATTGAGCCAGTGCGATTGTTAGGGGTGGAGGGGTCTTCAACAGGTAGATCTTGCCAATGAGGGATCACGAAGAGCAGAACTCAAAGAAAACCAACGGACAGCAAAATGATCCCACGGCTGTGCGCCAGTGGAGACGAGGCTATGGCATTTACTATGTTAATTTACTTGGCCTCCGCAATATGGTCCCAAACATTATTTAAAAATGGGTTGAAATGCACACAGGAAAAGGGTCCGACGAGACACAAAGTTCACACCGTCACGAGTACCTACGAGTACGGCCTGTGCCGCATACAGCCTGATGGTGTTTACTAGTGTGAGTTAATTCGAGTGTAGTTTCCGTTATATGCGTGGAGTTTCTTGTATGACGATATCTATGTCATTGTGCACCGTTACTGCTGTGAAAAGTTGCTGAGGCCGCCGCAGTTTGCTGGGCCTCCGCAGCAGGAGCCCAGATAAGGCTAGAGGCAGATAGAGGCAAAAGTCGGAAAAGTATGAGAAATAAAGAAGGTCAAGAATAAGTAGATATTGGTGCTGACTGTTAGCCTGCAGAGAGGAAAGGGCACACCAAGTAAACCCGTTGAAGGATGTGGTAGTGTTCAGGTTTAGTGAGCTGAAAGTCTGAGCTGCGGAAAGTTGCACTGCGTTTATTGGAGTGTGTATCAAAGCCACATCAAAGGTAAAGTATATGGTAGTACGATGCTAGAGTGTACGGAAACTAATTCGAACTTACTCACAGTTGTGTCAAGAGCGACGGAATGTGGCGTGGAGAAAGAGGGACATGGCTGTGTGGGGATAATGTCTGGTTGTGCATGCCACAGGGCCAAAAACTTTGAAGGCTTGTTGGAAGAGAAGCGTCGCATTGTGCTTGAGCTATTGAATTCTTATGCTTATGGCATACTAGTTCACGAAGAGTACTACAATGGCTAGGAAGAGCAGTAAAGGGCTACCAATGCGTGAAACAAGCTTCATTTCTTGAAGTATTGTTTTGGTGTTCACATCCGGGGGCACAAGTCTTCCGCATCCTGAATATTTTTGTCTCCAGGCAGATGCATCTGCCGATTCTTCCTGTGGTGGGGGCATGCGGCAAACAAGCGCCGGCGGCTTCGCATCAGCAGGCTGCAGCAACACTTGCTGCAGCGCCTCCGCCCAAAACAAGTTCTTTCAAATGGCTACCTAGCCAGGCAGCCCCTGGCTAGCTCTAGGTAGTCGACTAAGCAGCTAGCTAGGCGGGCAGCAAAGGCCTTGGCCAGCAAGTTAGCTAGCTAGCTAGCTAGCTAGCCAGCGGGGCGAACTAGCTACTTCAGCGGGCCACCTAGCTAGCTCGCCCAGCAAACAACAGCGTCTAGCTGGCTAGCTAGGTCGTTAGTTAGCGAGCTAGCTAGTGTGTGTATCCAAATCCTTTGATTTTGCGTCCATACACTACCTAAATCCACTAAGGACTCATGGGCCTCTTGCCAGCCTCAGAACGTGCGGAATCGCTCAATTTTGTAGCAAAGCGCTCAGAAAGGCGAGTCCAAAGTACTTTTACGGCTCCAAAGCACACCTTTTGCGCAGAGTTGCAGGGAGAGGGCCCACAACGGCAGCTCATCGTCCAAAACGATGCTGAATGTCTAGCGCAGGTTCCTGTTAGCGCGGGCCTCACAAAGCAAAGCTTGGCGATTTCTCCGCGTCTTTTCTAACGTCGGGAAGGAACTTTGGTCCTTATTTGTCCCGTAAGCGCTGTTTTGGAGTAGCGACACAGAATATGTTCAACGTCCAAATAGCAGCAAAGGCATTAACCTGAATGGTACGCCCCTTGCTTGAGCGAGACACGAATGGCAAAGCTCATTGCCCGTTCACGCCTACAGCGGCCCCACTGCTGAAATAGTTCTCCAAGCACGTGTATAGCTGCATCGTAGTCGATCATGCAGGGAAGTTCACTCTGAAGATAAACCGTAGTTCAGAGAGCACTCGATAGACACAGTGGCAGCTTCTTGTTTTGCGTGTCAAGAAAAAGCTGCTTCCTCTGCCGCAAGCACCTGCAGGAGTATGCGGCATTGCACGGAATATATTAGAGAGAGAGCACGTGGACTCAACTGTGGCTATGCTATAGTAAAGTAAAGCATAAGCTTAACAGGACACAACACAACCGCGCGTAGAGAAAACGTTGTAATGAGGATATTTGTGGCTTATGAACTGCGTCATGGCAACGGAAGCCCAACGTGTTGCTATGATCTCAACCGGGATACTCAAACCCAAATACTCCTTGACTGGCCGGATAACAGCAGTTTTACAAGTACTGGGGTGCAAAAGTGCAAAGCAAATGCGCCCAGTGGAAAAACTTGAATGCGATCATCAGAACCCACAAACTCTCTCGTTCCGTTAGATTGCCCCTAATAAATGCGACAGCAAAAACCGGTTCTTAACCCGTGTTGAGTTTTCTTAACCGTGTTGAGTTGATACTTTCCGTGCCAAGGATACTGGCGCTGACGGTCACCCTGGCATGTTGCAGTGTAGTACTTCGTTGCACTGTGAGCAATTTGATGGTAAATTTCCACTGAAATTGGGTCAAATATCAAAGCACTAGCGTGAAACTGCACACTCTATGTTTTTTTCTCGTGTCTGCATCTAGTACGGTTGCTTGTGATGCATTACTCACTGCACCCCCGCCGTTTCTCAACCCGGACGTATGCATCATTCCTAACGCTTGCGAAGATGCATGCATTAACGGCTGCCCGCAGTTATTTGAACGCTTCTCAGAGACATGGTTGCGCCATATGCATCACGCCAGGTGGCAAAAAAGGCCATATGTGTAGAGAATACTGCTTACTCTTCAGTCTTTCTCATTCGCATCACCAATCAGTCTCGGGCACCACGGAAATCGACCCTTTTCAAGGACACTCGTGCGGCAAGCTCTGCTCAGGATATGCACTTATATGCATTTTTAATATTTTTGTGAGCTGAACGTAAAGATCACGACAAAGTAGATGTGAATGCTCTGGACCGGAGACGTGGCGCGTGCCAGTAAAATCGATGCCATACAGGCAAGAGACATAGGCAGAAAGGAACGCAAGAGCTAATTCATCGAAGATGCCCTGAACCAAGTCGAAGTTTCCGATAAGCCTGATCAATTAGTGCGTCTTGTTTAGGTCGGGTTGACAAAGGAATGCCTAATGGAATTGGGGCTCCAGGCAGTGTCAGGGAACGGTTACCTCCCACAATTTGTCAAGACGGATCAGACTAGAACAGGGTCTAGACTGACATCGCCTGGAAGAATCGCAGATTTCCTAGCCAATTCTGTTGACTAGAGGGGAACACTTCGACAAAGTAAAATTAGCTCCCACGTCGCGTGTCCACTCTTAGCTGCCATCCTCGGCTGCAGGCGGCATCTCAGAACACTGATCTCTGCCTGCGATCCTCCACGTCGGAAGTGTAACTGCAAGACGGTAGCTTCCTTTCTGAAATAATTTTTGGTCTCTCATGATTAATTGTGGAGCAGTCGTCCTGCGTGTATCTTGTTGCTGGCAATTTTTCGCTCGTTGTTAAGGCTCTGCTCATCTGTTGAAGCCACACCGTACGGCCCACTGCCCCAGGAATGAGAGCCCATGGAGATTTCAACGAACTGGACAGCAACCCAGCAAATTCATCCCTTACTTCTTCTTCTGCGCTGCTTGTCAGAGCGCCCAATGTTTATCGTGGGAGAAAGGGCCTCAAACTCACGCTGGCTTCGCTGCTCACAGGTTTGGCCTCGAGTATTCTTGTATTTTTTATTGCTAGCTGCGCGTTTCGGCTGACAGAATCTAGAGACCTGGCGAATTCGCCCAGAAGGCTTTCTGAAGAAGTGAGCGGGGGAGCATGCGCTTGGCACAGTAGTATGCCAAAAAGTGACAGGCCATATGCCATCTCCATGGTGGTGCCCTGAATAGAGATTAACCTCTTCTTTCGCACCCATGCTTTACGGGGTGGTTGCTGCTAAAATATCAGTAAAGCTGTCACCGCACTATGCGGACTTAGTAAGATAAATGAGTTGCAGTGCCTGCGTGTGCCTGCACTATATTCTTAGAGCTTGATTTGTTCAATCTCAAACGAATTTTCTACATCTCTAAGAATTCAGCAGGGCGAGCTGCCTGATGCGCCTCCTTCTTATGAAGAAGTGCTTGAGATTGATGCACAACGAGACACTGGTAATGCGCGATGCCAAGCTGGCAATTCGCATCATGGTATCACGCAACGCCGAAGACGAGCAGATGCTATAAATGCTGTTGGAGAGATGTCAAGACCTCGCTCGGCAGCACGACGAGAAAGTTTACGTTCAAGATTTGATTCGAGCACTGCCTCTGCTGGGGCTGTTCTTCAGATCCCAATTGAACGTGTTTACGAATTTCCAAACGTCAGCAGCGAGCAGGTACTTCATTTGCACCTAGCGAAGGCAGAAAGGTGTATATCCTTCGATAATCGCCCTCAATTGCTTTTAGTTACTGGGCAGACTGAGGTTGTACCTTAGCACATTCATAGAATTATCTCCTCGGAAAAATTTCGCAATTGGGACATGGCGAAATTGCGTTCGACTGCAGACAAGAATGGATCTGTATGATATTCTGAAGTTTGTGAAAGGCTTTCGGCAGCCTCACCTTGGTCTTAGGAGAAGTAAGATATGTAAAGGGCTGCTTTTTAGAAAGAAGTGTTGGCAGCAGATATGAACACGGGAAGTTTCGTGGACATGGTACTTTTGTTTAGCTGTTGAGTAGCCGGATGAAAAGCTTTCTGTGGTGCAAGCTTTCCGCAGTTTTCATCCCGGTATAGCTCTTTATTTGCTACACCAAACGCTCTCCATTATTTAAAATGGCTGGACTTGTGACAGTATCAGATGAAGGGTCAGCTTCTGCCACTTGTGGTCCCTTT